GTCTTTTCTCTCCTTCAAAAATTTCTAGATTACACTCGTCCCGTGTCAGCGTCAGCGCTCTCCTATTGTTAAGATATGTTTTCTTTTTAAATTGTAGGAAATTTCAGGCTGATAAAACATGATATAACTCAAAAGCAAGCACAATTTGATGCAAATAGATGTTTGTGACATAACCTCAAAATAGAGCGCTGACACGGAGAAGTAGAAAACTATGACAATCAAGGAGGCCATAAAGGTGTGCTACAATTGAAGGGACGACTGACGATACGGGCCTTAGATAACAATCAGCGATGAAACTCTCTTGTCATTGTCAAAGCGGCCGCCATTTCGGTAGAGCAAGTCGAATGTAAATTCCCCCAGTATAACGATGAAAGAGGTTTTAGTGCTCAGCAGTGTTGCCACGTATCCTGCTAGCGATCGTAGATATTATTTGCAATCGTAAAAGTTATACTATTCCGATATGATCTGTGAGAGCCAATAATAAAAAATATGTTTGTCCTAAAAGAAACGACGAAGTATTGATGACTGTTAACGAGAAAGTTTTAAAATGACCTGGCACACTACAACAAACCTGACACTTCTGACGACTCCTCAGCTAGGATGCTTCTACATACACAGCGAATCGGTAGCTCCGATATTTTTAATACATAGAAAATTTTGAAAATTTGCGGGCAACTATACGCTCCTTACTTGAAAAATATGCCGCTCTCCACAAGGTGATTTATAATTACATGACAACACATACATTTTTTAAGTGAATGTGCTTAGTGTGAGCGTGCAAAATGGTTTAGTTTTCCTGATGGACAATGTTTCTGAAATGCAATGGATTGATTATGCCTACTCTAAGTACTTCCACAATTACAAATTTATTTAGAAGCCTTTCCTTAAATACATAGTCATCCGTTGCTTCTTTTACGACAAAAATACTTCTTTATTATTAATTCACACAAACTACACTAGATCGTATCGAAATATTATTATTTACGATTGCAAAGAATATCTGCGACCGCTGGCATGATACGTGGCAACACAGGCTGCTGCTGGACACTAACACCTCTTTCATATTTGTACTAGGGGAATTCATATGCGATTTTCTCCGCCGAAATGGCGGCCGTTTTTGATACTTAAAGGAGACCTTCATAGCTGATTGTTATCTAAGCTGTGGTACAACAACATTGTCGATTGTATGTGTTAAATTGACAAGCATTTTCAGAAAGTCGATAAAACAACGTTTCTCTATCACTCAATTCATGTTTATGAGTAAGAGCGGGTGTGCAATTTGTCTTAGGGAAGTTGAACGTTCTGTTTACTTATTGTGCTATCAATGCTACGTATAGAATTTCGTAAAATAAGTGAACAGATACACTAATTGTATTATGGGGATAGCTCACTTCTCCTAACTAAGGGAATAAGGCCACTGCGTAGATTGACTTCAACACGTCTGTATACTTTTTGGTAGTACCATAGCTTTAGCACAAACTCGGCATTATCAGCTAATTGCATTTCCATGCATTACTAGGTTTTCTAACGAAAATCAGCAAGACAATTCAAATTGCACGCCTATGACAAGGAAGTTGTCACACTGAAAGTGTCAAGCATAGTTGCAGAATACTATGCATTACGACAACAAACAAAAAAACGTCCACACTCATATATATATATATATATATATATATATATATATATATATATGGATATATATACAGACCAGTATTCCATAATTTAAAAAGTTTTCCTATAAAATGTCACCTTTGAACTAGCTGACATTCACTTCATGCACCCGCACGGGTATCACGTATCTTGAAAAGTTACATTATGTCGATTTTTTTTGACATTACGCTGTTTTTTTGAAATTATGTAGGTTTTTCTACAAGATGTTAACTTAGCACTTAGTTGTACGTGTTGCCTAAACGTCATGAGGCTTGTTATCAATCTTTGGCTCTGATGTGTGGTAAAATCTGCTTCTAAGATGGCATTACTGGAGGTCCAAGCTGTAAGTTGTAAAACTAGATATTAGTTACGCATACACTTTTTCTGATCCATTCTGGAAATTACATATACAAATTTGCTGAATTTAAAAAAATGAGAGAGATAATTATGCAAAGCATAAAAATAACCCATCGAGCACATCCAATAGATATACTTCATTGGCAGCATATTCAGTAATTATTTTTTCACACAGCAAATATCACTGATTTTATTCACATGCAGACCAATACACATAATCATCCAGATGCGATCCTGCTATTCTGCTAACTTTCTTCTCAGACAAAAACTACACGCAAGGACCATTTGGCCTCACAAAGCATATGCAACCAATAATGCGTGTAGTTTAGTTGAGTGATTCATACTTAGATGGACGTTCACAACGATCCTAGTGAGCAAACGTGGAATGACTGTTTGCGTCCTAAAAACTTCCTAGTTTGCAAGATGACACCTTACAGGTTTTTTTTGACGTTTTATAGGTTTTTTTACATGATACCCATGCCGAAATGAACTAGAGGCACACTAGCGGCACAATTTGATATTATACCGACTTTGTTGACATTATACTGCAGTTAAAAAAATATTTTTTATGTATTTGTTAGCAAGACCTCTGATATTTCTTAGCCCGGATTGCAATGCGTACGGTTGGTAGTCTCTCAATCCACGTATTCAAAATCCGTGGCATTTCCAATTTTCCTGACCAGTCCTAGCATAATTGTTAACGTGTATTGTGAATAACTCCTCACTTATGATGTGGTACCAAAACGGACATAGCGGACGACCATATGATAAATGCGACTCAAGAATGACGCATCGCGTAAAGTGCTGCGGTAACGTTATCTATTACATATGTGACTCACGTTCACGATTTGTTGTTATTTAGTTATCGATACCAACTATAATCTGAGCATGGCTCGTCATTTCGCTTTACTTTAATAATGTAAGAAATACTTTTTTAAAAGAAAAATTGACCAACTGCATGCTAGACAACTTTTTTGATGGGTCCAAGTTTATTCTAAAGAGTAAAGGATATTTACGAAAAAATAATACAAGGGACATTCGAGTTAAGCTAGGAAACATCAAAGAAAAAGGTCCATGCAGATTCTTAACTTATCATTTTTCATTATTTTCTTGGGCAACTCTAGCTAGATCGAGAAGCCCCATAAACCGAAATTTTCCCCTGCCGCGCCATTGGCTGCACTCCGCGCTTGGGCTCTAACGGAATTAACGGCCTTTAAAACGTGGCTAACTAGATTTTGCAACAGTGTCGCTGTGGAACGGGTAACTTGACGAAGTTGCAGTCGCACATAATTCTGCTTTGAGAAACTGCTGTCACGTAATTGCAGTTTATGCGATTAATATCCGGACTTTGGTCAAAGCCTGCGAGTTTCTGTGACCGCTGTACGTATTAACTTTGACATGGAAAATAATATTTATCGGTGCCAGTTCCACACGCGTCATTTGCATCTGTGTCGGTTAGGTTTGTCAATGTGCGAGAGAAACCGCTGTGTATAAAACATGATCAACAGCGTGACTCTCACCTCAAGCAAAGTTTACAGGATGGGAACAGATGAATTACTGGCAACAAACGGTCTTCTAAAGCTGTGCCAGAAGCCTTCCTAGATATAATTTGTTTTGTGTGACGGATTACACTATTTTTGCCGCTGAAGATCTACTTACGATGGTCACTGGTACGTCGAACCCGAGGTGGTGACCACGGAGAAAAATTTCAGCATGAATAGATCTAAGACAATCGAAGAAGATGAGATGGATAGACTATTCAAAGAGATTCAAGGTAATCCAAGTAAGTTTGAAACAACTCGAGTAGTCAAGGATATTTTCTATACCAGTCGGATGAGATGAAAGACCTTTTGTTCTTCGCTACCATATGACGGCCGTAGGTTGAAAAGTTAGTGTTCTTACTGATGTATAGACTGGGTATGCAATGACATCACCTAGTGGATATCGGACAGAAATGTTTGTGCCTGACACGAGCAATATAAAAATGAAACTGACCCAAATTTCACCATAGGTGCACTGTCTGTCTAGATTGCACTGTCAGGCCGACAAAGTTTTTATTTTTGTCCACTAGGCGCTCTTGACGAATATACTCTGCCGGACCAGCAGCACTGGATCTTCTAGGAAGATGAAATACGATAGTAATAAAATTCTTATTTTGACCTCAAACTAAAAAAGTATGAGCGGTACGCTTTTTCGACGGTACGCAGTCTGTGGTACATTGTGTCATTCTAGTCCCAGTCGCATGTCGCTGGTCTTGCGTAGATGGATAGGGAAGAGGAAAAAGCAGGTGGCTGCGATTCTTCCGTCCGCGAAATTGTTGTTGTGATGCGTTTTCGATTCGTTTATTAAAGCCTTTTGATGACTGTTATGTGAAAATTCAAGGCGGGGACGTGCAGATAATAGGTGAGTGAAACAGCTTGATGTTATTGAAAATATTGCATTCATTTATATTTTATTTATGCGTACAACGAAACCATATTGAGGTTATGTAACATTCCAATAAAACCAAAATAATAGTATTTGTGGAATAACTAGCATATACCCACTGCTTCATCAGAATAATTAAGGATACAATAAAGAGAGCCTTGTGATAAAGCTTCTGTTCCATATGAATCTAACTCTAAAATATTTTTATTAAACGTTAATACCTACTTACGATTGGTTGTAGCATCTAAATCAAAAATGGCATAAACATTAAACATGAAAAGTCAAATGATCATCAAACTTCTATTTACCTGTCGGTATACACTTTGCCTTTCAACTATAATAGATGTAAAAAATGTCATTTCAAAATAGCACAGTATCCCAGACCCAGATGATGAATTTTTGTCTTTTGACTGCTAGGAGTAGCACCAATGATCGGTATAATCTCAATATGTCATAGTATGTTGCCTTTCATTTAATTAGTATCTTTGAGGAACTAAACTGGTTTGATCCAAGGGCGGATCTAGCCTTTGAGGTCACACAATGGTTTTCCAAGGATTTATATTCAGAGAGATGCTGTGGGGGGATTCAAAATGGAAGAGAGGGGGGAGGCTGCTGCATCAATGCTAAGAAAAGAAGGAATGCTTTTGTGGTAACTAGCGAGCAGGGTGTCATCGGCAGAGTTACCACAAGCGAGATTTTACGTATAAAAAGGGCCAGACGTTTTCAAGATTAAACTACTCGATTTCAGATTTTTTTTGTATAAATAATTTAGTTCAATTTACCTATACCTTTATCTTGCTTGTAATGTACTTGTTATAATGGGTGTATTCAGGGAACTGTAGCGATGAAGCAATTTATGTCAAAAATGACAATTCTGATAGGTATGTTAAAATTGACTGACTTGACAAAGTTTCTATGAGAATTTTTTCAAAATTGTAATTTCTGACAAAGCGCTACAACGCGGTGATAGGAACAACAAAAAAACTTTTCATAATTCAAAATGCTAACATACAATAAATTATAGTTTAAAAAAACTAAAAAAACAGGCTTTAATAACAAAAACTATAATGTAGAAAATAATTTTTATGTATAGGAGAGTATGTGTTACTAATTAAAATTTGTAATAATTGTCTTATTGGCATTTCAGAGTAAACAGTCACGTTTGATTAGTTAATTTGGAATAAAATCAATGTAAAAATAAAATTAAGGTATTATCAAAAAATTCAGTTTCAGTAAAAACGCCTGGGTGCTTGAGATTAACTGTTAATTATTTTTTAGTTGCTATTTCCAAATCGGAGTTATGAGAGTATATTGATCTTATTCCAAATTAATTAGTGATACTTGGTTGTTGGACTTTCTATTGCAGAACAGAACCGCTTCTATACTTGTTTTTAGTTTTTTAAAACTATAATTTATTTTCAGAAGTTTTAGTCTTAAAACGAGGTATTTTTTGTTTAATTTTTTTTAAATTCTGTTATTTTCAAATATTTTTCGAAGTTTCCGAAATTTCCAACTATTTTTCAAATTTTCAAATCAAAATTTTTAACAAATTTCGATATTAAACATTTTTTAATACTTTCCAACTTTTTTCACGATTATTGGGCTGTCATCGGCTTTTGATCCTGTATAAATTTTCAAGTTAGTTAGTCTTGTTGGAATTAGTGGAAATTAGGTTGAAAGACTCCGTTATATACACGTCAAGCTAATAAAAGCTTGGTAAAAAAACAATAACATAGTTGAGCTGAGTTCGCGTGTTTAGTAAGCCTAGTCTTAGTAGTTGGAAACCCCAATGTCCAATATACGCTAACCTCGTGGTTCAAAAACTAATTAGAGGTACAATTTATTTGAGCTGCATTAAAAATGGTGTGTTAGTGGAAGAATGGGCAAGATTGATTTCGAAAAGAGGGGCGAAGGGCCGCTCCGTCATCGGCGATTGACACATTTGAGGAGCGGTGGTTATCCGGCAGTTGAAATTTGAGGAGCGTGTGGGGATGTCAAAAAAATATAAGCGACCAATCTCGATTTATTTTATGACCTGCATCTCATGACTCCCCTGAATCCGCCTTTGCTACGATCAAGGCCAGTCTGGAGGCTACAACTGCAGTCCTCAAAATATAATTTTTACTTATGTCCTTTGGAGCGCTGAATGCGAATCTGAAGGTCAAAAAATCATTCAGTATCGTGGAGCTAAAGTTATGTAGCAAATTGGTAATTTTACCCCGCCTAGTTGATCTAAAACCTCTTTTTATATCGACGCAGACGCGTAAGTAGTACCCTAAATTCAGAGGCACCGCGGTTGCTATAACGAGTTAAGTCTAAATTCAAAAAAAAAATGTTACCGACTTATTTGTTGTTGTTTGAATCATTATTTCAATGCTTGTGTGAGAGAAATTGCAAGAAAGAAAAATATACTTAGCATTTATAATGACTGCAGCCGTATCCATTCAAGTATGTTGAAACAGTTGCCTGTTCAAACGCAAAACATTTGCTGCTGAATATATCTTGTAGGTGACTACGCCCATACCAGACTGACTAATTTCGCTTCAATCGAATGTGTTACAAAGGAATGTAGACCTTGATACCATTGGAAGGCCATATAAAAATCCAGTTGAATTTATTAGTATGATGTGTTATATCTTGGCGTGCAATTTACATGCTTTGTCTTTTAGCTTTTTGCTCATTATGTTGAAGTTTCCAAGAAAAACTATAAATACCGTAATGAAATACATAATTATTTAATTTTTTCATCGTCAAAGCTTAGAGCTTTTTGGAGCAAAATATTGTCGAGATTCAAATCATATCAGAGAAAATTTTGCTACTCTTGCGTAATTAGCTGATTTTGAAGGTGTGACCCTGCTCAAATACAGTGAATTGGTAGGTAATGAGAAACTGGATCACCTGGCAAAACTAGGAGCTTGTGCATTATCGTGATAGTGATTGCTATTTTTTTTGTTTATTTTAGACTCTCCGGATATAATATGTAGGGTTATTTCAAAGCCGGATAGTTAGTTAATAATGAGTAATGAAAATGCTTTTTTTAATAGCAAGTAGGTGAAAGATGGTTGGCTGGCCTTACAGTGGAAAACTTACTATATAGGTGTCTCAATACTCCTTGGACAAGTACCACGTATTTTTAGAGTCAAAATAAGTCGATTGGATATGATTTACTTCTTGAAAAAGTGCTTCGATTGTCCGTTAGAGGGCGTTAACTTTTTATTTGTAAGAACATATTTTTTTCAGTTATTTTTCGAACCGAAAGTCCGTTTGGATGACATGTGGAACACATGTTTTGCTAGACGTCTTGACATTTGACTTTTACAAGAAATCCGAAAGCAGAATCGTGAAAACTACCCACTTTTACGAAAATTATAGCAGAACGATTTCACAGTTCTCCCAACGACTCTTATTTTTTTGTTTGTTTAAAAGATCCTTTTAATTAAGTTATTTTTATCTCTTATAAACGTAGGCCATCTCGCAAAAAGATGTCTTGTTTTATCAAGTGTTAGAAATCTAGTAGGCATCTAGTTGGCGGAAATGTGGGACGTGTCAGTGTCGTATTATGTTTGACAAGCTTCATAAAGCTTAAATTAATAAGTAACTAATGTTTGAGTAATTGTTAATAAAAACTACCCGAGATGGCCTGTTTTTATAGGAGACAAATTAAGGAAGTAAATAAAAAATCTGCTAAACAAAAAAAAAATCATCGGGAAAGTCGTCAAAAATTTCTGCTGTTTTCCAACTTTCATTAAAATTGGACAGTTCTTGAAATATACTAAAAAATGTGTGTTAAAAAGAAAACTTTGACGCTCTCCAATGGGCAAACGAAGCACTTTTGCATGGGGGTAAATCATGTCCAACGGACTTATTTTGATCCAATAAATACTGTGGACTTATACTTAATATGTACATTAGATATCCGTCTCACATTGGATAATCGTATTCATACCATTCTTATCGTCTGTAGCAAGGCAAAAATATCAGCATTAAACATCTCCAAATCTGTATATATATATATATATATATATATATATATATTATGAAAATTCTTACCCAAAGAAGAATTTTTGACCTGCCGAATTCGCATCCGCTTGCCTCTCTCGGCTTATGGTAGCCGGGTTTAGAGACGGCTGATATCGTTACTTCTTGATGTTAGTGACTTAAAACCGTGACGTGACCACGACTTTGAATAATAAATATCTTATTTTTCAACAAAGCAGGGATCATGGGTATACGTATACTGTTATCCTGAGCAAAATACCTCGATGAAAGGAGCCAACTACCAAACCCTATAAGGCCATCGTAGTCTTAAGCATCCCACAAACCGGCGCGAAATATTCGCTTTGGCTGCGAAAATTTCGCGGCGATGAATTCGCGATCAGATTAAAACGCGGCGGTTTACGGACAGGCTCAGACTTGTGCGAAGCGAATGCGATTGTTCCAGCGTTTTTATCGCGGCGTATTTCAGTTCGCCTTTGACCGCGTTTTTGACGCCGTTCTTCAAAAATTCGCAATGGCAAAAACGGAATTATTGATAGAAATAGTGAAAAAGTATCCTTGTTTGTATGATTTGTCGAACGATGAATACAGGAATGTGAGAAAGAAAGACAAGATTTGGATGGAAATAGGAAAAGAATTAAATACAAATGGTATGTACCTAATATTTTTTATTAACTTGTTAAATAATTTACAGTCTACACAAATGTGAAAACGAACATTCTATATATTGGGCATAGGCATATCAGAATTAAAATAATTTACGAATTTGTCACGAGTAGAAAATGGTAGCCTTGCTGCCCGCCGAGGATCATTTGCTATATAAGTAAAAGCTCCAAGCACAGGTGTTGGGGGATCTAAGAAATGAAAATATTTGTCATCGCCACTTTTACTTCGTAAAAAATTGTGTAAAACACATGCCGTACGTACAATTAGAATAGTAGCATCTACTTTAGTTTCTAATGGCCTGTAAAATATTCGCCATTTTTGAGACAAAATACCAAACGCATTTTCCACGACCCTTCTAGCTCGACAAAGTCTTACATTGTATTTCTCTTTTCTGACGTCTGTTAAAGTCTGCTTATAAGGAAATGGTCTCATAAGGTATGGTTTTAAAGCAAATGCTTCATCACCAATTAAGACGTACGAGCAGATTTCATTTTGCCCAGGGAGAAATCTAGGTGCAGGGACACTCATTAAATTTTGTTCAAATCGTTTTCCCATGTTTGAGGTTTCGAAAATACCCCCATCACTATTTTTTCCGAAACCACCAATATCAACACATATAAATTTATAGTCCGGGCCAACAATGGCCATAAGTACTATTGAATATTTATGTAAATAGCACCAGTAATTGGAGCCACTGTTGTTAGTTCTCTTGATTGTTACATTTTTACCGTCCACGCTGCCAATGCAATTGGGAAATCCCCATCTATTTTCAAATTCTTCAGCACATTTTTTCCATATATTCTCTGTTGGTTCTGGTAAATATATATGCTCCATATGTCTGCATATCGCTTCACAGACTTCGGTTACGATTGCACTCACTGTTGTAAAGCCAACTCGAAAGCTATGCCCAATGGTATAGAAGGTGTCACCAGTGGCAAGGAATCTATAAAAAAAATCGTTTTTAGGTGATGCAGTAAAAAAAAAGGTGGAAGAATATCAGAGACACATTTGCAAAATATATAAAATCTACCAAACCAAAGACCGGCCAAGCAGTGGGCAACATAAAAAAAT